GTAACCTCCAATCAACTACGAAACTGCCAATCTATACGATCAATAGTGTATATCATTAGCGAAAAATCTGGTTCATAATATTTATCAAAACGATGGATGATTTTGGCGAAATGCATACAAGTTTGGATTTGTGAACCTAATGAACATCACACACACGCAACACTTCACAAATACATACAAGTTTGGATTTGTGAACCTAATGAACATCACACACACACAACACTTCACAAAAAAAATACAAGTTTGGATTGTGAACCTAATGAACATCAGCAATATGACATAAAACAGTAACGAATCCCAACGTCTACGTCAATGTTATTTGTGCTGATTTGACATCTGTTAATATATGTGTGTCTGTGCACAAATGTCTTAATGCATTCTAGTATGAAAAATGTAATCGCTATGTGTGTGATCAAGTAATATAGCACAATGAACATAATGAACAACCCCTATATACGCATGATATGATTTGTGCTATATGACATAAAACAGTAACAAAACTAAAACTATTATTACACAAAGTAGCTAATTAAAAAGAGCAACAATAATGTGAATTTACTGAAATTGAAAAGTTAGTGAAGAATGTATATTGTTTGTCATCCCGAAGTCAAATCTTTAATGAACATAATGAACAACCCCTATGTAGTTAGTCTTCAAAACTAAAACTATTATTACACAAAGTAGATAATTAAAAAGAGCAACAAGGATGTGGATTTACTGAAATTCAAAACTTAGCGAAGAATGTATATTGTTTGCCATYCCGAACTSAAATCTTTAATGTAGGCGTGTTCACATTAGCGTGTTCATAGCTATCGTATGTTCATATTGGGACACTTATTGATCATTTTCTTCACTTTCAGAATTCGAATTCCGAATGTATTCGTAGACACTTTTAGCTTTTTCATTCTCATTATCGTCAATCCGTTTTACTCTATGATTATCCATATTACTCGGACTATAACGGAATCTTTACAAAAGAGACTTTTTTCAAATTTACAATATCAAAACCATTATAGGAAAAATAAATGTAAATTTCACAAAGATGAACACATGTGAAACTTCATGTCATTATTACATGAAGATCAATTAGTGATATTTTAAGATTCGTAACTCTCAATTAAAATATTTGGGAGTTACATAAGAATGATAAATTACCTAAATATCCTTACAATTAATATGTGAGTTACATTTGAACCTAACTAAAAGATGGAACATGATTGGTTTGATGTTGGTTAGCATAGTTTGCACAATAGTTTTGGTTAGTATTTGAACCAACCCCTATATATATATATATATATATATGTATATATATATATATATATATGTATATATATATATATATAGAGAGAGAGAGAGGTGGGTTATTATACAATTTTTTATATTTGTACAACCAATACAACTCAATCTCAACCGTCTATTTAGTTTGATGAATATGTGATTTCATAGAAGTTTTGATTGTTTCCTAATATAAAGTATTAATCATAATTAATGAACTTTATTCATATTTCATAAATATTCAAATAATAATAAATGAACTCTCATCATTTCCATAAATATCTCAATTGATTGGGTTGCATTAGTTGCACAAATGAACATGATTGCACTTGAAATATACCCTCTATATATACATATATATGTATATATATAACCCTTACATTACCACAAGAAAGTTTATTTCTTATTTTATATTATGTTATTTTTAAATCCCGATCCCCATATCCAAAAAAAAAATTGGATCCATTCTCCAAGTGAGCATGAGATGGACAAATAATTTTATCCGGTAAAAGACATAGTAACAATCGTGGTTCCTACCCGATAACTGAAGTTTATACTCTTACCTAGTTGAAATTTATCGGGTAAGAAACACTTCCAAACAATCCATTTTGATAGATTATGATTTTATTCGACAAGATAAATGAAGGTCGAAACTCTTATCGATAAGTATTTGATAAACGTCATTCAGTTTTCGGTTACCTTTTAGGGTTCCTTAGTTGTCGTTGTAAAATAGAATTAAAGTTCATTTAGTGAACATTAAAGGGTACAGAAGAACGAGACAACATTTTGTAACGACTGGATTATACGGTTCTGAGACATGTAAATAACTCGATATATTGACAGCAGTTTGAAAAAACTTCAACTCAACTCGTAAGTTGCCATCAACTTTTTAAATAATTAATTTTTGTATGTCGTTCGATTTAATTTTATACATATAAGAAATAGGTAATATTGAGTTGTTTGAATACATACAAGAGACAAACAAATTGTGTTTGAAAAAAATTGGAGATTTGTTTATATGCCATCAATCATGTCTTTTGTCATCACCCAACGTCCCAACCAAAAAGATATGTCTGTATGTATTTGTATATATATATATATATATATATATATATAT